CAGGTCCCAGAGGCAGAACCAAGTGTGTCCCTTGGGTGGGAATCAAGCCTGTGAAGTTCAGACGAGAGGGTTGCTAATCTCTGAGTAGGTGGGTGAACTCTGAGCCACACTCCGGATTTTCCATATCATTGCCCTTGAACTTTCCTCCTGATGTCCGTTGCAGAATGCAAATTCTTTCTAGGCCCTTTCTTAAGTGGTGTAAGCCAGGCATCGCTTTTGGACTGCTAATGTAATTTATTACACTGCTCATGCTATGTAAATCAGGACACTGGGCCAAATGCAAGCTGTGGGTTCTTTCCATGGAGGGCCAGCTCCTAGAGCACTCAGTGGTAGCTTTCATGTCAGTTAGTAAAGTTAAGAGGAAAACACAGAAAGGGAACCTTTTCATGCGAATCAAAGGCCTTTTCTGAACTGTTAAAAGGAAAGAAAGCATATTTTCCATATTTTAATTGTAGCCTTGAAAAATATCAGACTATCTATCACATCCTTTTAAAAATGGGATGTTAAAGTCACTGTATTAGAATGTTAACTATTCCATGGTAACTGTACTGCATAATTTTAACTTCTTTAAGAAGTTTCAGTGTGCTGACTATAACCTGATATTGTAAAATATGATCCTAATAAGCTAGGAACCAGAGTAAGTACAAATGTTCAGAACAGGGAAACACCCAGCCACTGTTTTCCACTGCTTTACTGCAGACTCAGAGCTGAGTGAGGCTCAGCAACGACACTATAAGACTTAGTCTTTGTGCTCAAAGAACTAAGAACAACGTTGTGACATATAAATGTTTGCGCGCGCGCACACACGCACACACACACACACACACACACACATATACATATACCATAATGAAACCGTAAGAAACTAACTATAGATTTGAAATGAAGTGGGATGAAAATCATTTCCAAGAGAACCTGAAATCGAACTTGAGGGCGAGAAACATTCAGAAGAGGGTGGGCACAGAGCAAACAACGCCAATCATAATGGTGGCATAATAAACAGTTACTGGGTGCATCCTGAATTCCAGGTACCTTCCCATATCATATGTGATCTCCCAAATTTAGATGAACTAAATAAAGAATCATTAAAAACCAAGTCAGTGTAGCTGAAAAATGTCACAGCTAGTGAGTGATACATCCAGGATTCAGGATAGAACGGGCTCACTGTGACGTCTGCACTCATCTCAAGAAAAGAGCAAAAGGGTGCATCCACAAAACGCTCCTGCATCTAAGGCTCTGGGGAAATTACAGAAGAGCAGGTAGAGAGGTTGTAAGAGCCAAAGGATCAGTCAGTTTGTTGTGACATTGTGTCTCCCAGCAATGTCGAAAGCTACACCCGTAAAAGTCTCTCCAAAATGATACCAACAAGGATGATACCAACAAACATGGAGAACTGGACAGAGAAAAGCCCCCAAAGTTCAACTCTATGCAAATTACTACAGGCACAGAGGAAAGTTGGGAATAGGAGATGCAAACTTCCCCATTTGGTTGTCCAGTGCCAAGTGTTCAGGCCTGAAAACATACATGTACGTAACATTACATGGACTGAATAGGTTAGAGTTAGGAATATATATATATAAATATATATGTGTGTGTGTGTGTGTGTACATACACACATATATGCATGCAATAACAATTAATGAAAAAAATAGGCCATGAATTTGAAGAGAGCTGAGAGAGGTATATAAGTGTAGTGAGAGGCTGCTTGTTGGTTCCCAGCTCCCCGGCTAGTTTAGACCAGAAATAATCACACAGAAACTGTATTAATTAAATCACTGCTTGACCCATTAGCCCTAGCTTTGTATTGGCTAACTCTTACATATTAATTTAACCTATTTCTATTAATCTGGGTATTGCCACGTGGCAGTGGCTTACTGGCAAAGTTTCAGCTGAGTCTGGAGGCAGCGCCTCCATGGCTTCTCTCTGACTCCGCCCTTCTTTCTTCCAACATTCAACCTAACTTCTCCCCACCTAACTCTGTTCTACCCTATCAGGCAAGCCAGTTTCTTCATTCATTAACCAATAAAAGCAACACATAGACAAAAGGGCCTCCCACACCATATAAAAGGAATTGGAGAGAAGAAATGTAAGGGAGAAATATTATAATTAGATTATAATCTCTCTCTCTCTCTCTGTGTGTGTGTGTGTGTAATGATCCTAATAATAGCATGTAATAATGTAATAATCATGCTATTTTTAATGAGAAAAAATCACAATTGAAGGGATAGAAATTTTGTAGGGAAGTTACATGAAAAGAAGCTTGCATAATAAAGGCAGTAAATTTGAATGAAGCTAAATAATGAAGGGATTTGACTGGTAGAATAGAAATCTTAGGTTCTAGGACTCAGTAGGCAACAACTCAAGGTCCTCAGCTAAAGCTAAAATTTTGACAATGTTAAATGGTTTGGACATTGTGCAGATTTATTGAGCACTGTTTTCTTTCTATCACAGAACACACACTCTTTTATGCTACCTTTGTATAAGATCTGGTAGAAAGGGTGTGCTTTGTAAGTATCCACTTCCCACTCTTTGGGAACCCTATACCCCTTCCTTCATCTCTTCCTTTAGAGACTATAAGTCAATGGCCTAATCTCTGCTTTATTGTCCTTTCTTTCAAATCCTTTCAAATTCAGAGTTTTCATGGTGCCTTCTTTGTTTGCACCTTTATAAATCATGTGTTTACTTACTTACTTTCGATGGTACTGATGATGGAACTCAAGCCTGTGCACATGGAAAGCAATGGCTCTACTCCTGAGCTATGTAGTCCCTGTCCTGCATCTTATTTGAGAGCACCCCAGATGAAGCCTGAACCAAAGGATCATTACAACTTCATCAAGGATAAGCAGACTCCAAGAAAGGCCATGTCTATCAGCATTAAGTGGAATGAATATCACATTTTGTAGTAGAAAAAGGCATTCAAAGAATTGTGTGGGTATTTCTGAACTTCAAGATGAGAAAAGTTTGCAATAAAGTAGTGGCATTGTTTCTGACCTTGTAAAGTCAACCTTGAGACTCTAGAAGGAGAAAAGTACTCTGGGAAAGAAAGGGAAAATGGTAGAAAACCTATCAGTAAAGAGGTATATAAAATACAGGAGGTTCCAACATTTATTTTTGGCAAATAATTTCATTGTAGTTCTATTGCAGAAGAAGGTCACAAAGAAATAGAAATAGTAACCACTGTTAAGGTGTTCCTGTCCAGTTCAGAACTGAGTCTCGCTGAGTGTATGATAAGCTGGAAGGTATATCTTTTTTCTACATTCAGAGAACCTGACCACAGATAATCAAAGATTGTTGTGGTTGCAGTGGTTTTTAACAAGAATGTCGCCATAGCTCATGCATTTGAAGGCTCAGTCATCAGGAGTGGCACTATTTGAGAAGAATTAGAAGGTGTGGTCTTGTAGGAGGAAGTGTGTCACTGGGAGTGAGTGGGTTTGAGATTTCAAAAAATCTAAGCCAGGCCTACTGTTGCCCTCTTCCAATGAATCTACATGGAGAACTCTCAGCTATTTCCCTAGCACCATATCTGTCTACAAGCTGCGATGCTCCTTGCCATGATGATAATAGACTAAACCTTTGAAACTGTAAGTCAGCCCTAATTAAATGCTATCTTTCATAAGATTTCCCACGGTAATAGAGCTCTTCACAGCAATTAAACACTGAGACAGCAGTCAGTTTTAATTCATGGCAAAAAATAAATGCAGTGTTAGTACCAAAAAGAAATTTCAAGTGAAAATTAGTGGTTGTGGAGTTGGGTGGTTATGTTGAGCAATAATTATTTGATTGAACTTTGTGCTCTATCTTCATAGTTAAAGATCAGAAAATATTTACCTCAGTTTCTGCTCCTCTTTTAAGGCAACAGTGTATTTTCTCTAAAGAGAAAAGCTAAATGTTGTGAAGGAAGGAGAATTTGTCTAGAACCATAGGGGAAATCAATGGCACACTATAAAGACAGCTAAGGCAGAGCAGTCTTAGAAACACACTTTTCTCTATCCCTCGTTGCCTTTGGTATTACAGTACCTCTGCCTTGTTAGTTTATTTTTCTTCATTTATTTCCTTCAACATTTCAATCTGTAGACCAGGCACTAGAACCTCCTCAATATCATCTTACTTGCTGGTCTCTGGATGTGCCTACCGTTGGTTCAATATTATAACTTCTCAATGTCATCTTACTTCCTGGTTCCTGGATGTCCCTCCTGGATGTCCCTACCATTGGGTCAATACTATAACTCTTCAATGTCACCTTAGTTCCTGGTCCCTACCATTGGTTCAATACTATAACTCCTCAATGCCATCTTATTTCCTGGTCCCTGGATGTCCCTATCATTGGCTCAGTTGTCCAAGCTGGCATTTACACTGATGCTGCTCTTTCCGTCTTCCTTCCCTATCCTTTCTCTTCTGTGTCATGGGTGTATGTGAATGTGTACCGGAAGAAACCAAAGAGTATGGACAATTTCAAAAATAGGGCTTTCAGAATTACTGAGATAATATTAGTTTTAAGTTCTTACTCATTAAACAATAACTAAGAATTTAAAGGAATAATTATGCTTGTTTCATTGAACAATTCAATCTGTTTAATTTCTTTCATTGAACAATTATGTGTGTTTCATTTGTTCTATATTATCGCAACCCATAAATTGAATAAACCTTGCGTCTCTCTTCTGTGGGCCTGGTTGGTTACACGGTACATAAGGTACTACCAGTTTTCTTCTTTGTCCTAATCTCATCTTCTATTCGAGCTGCAGTGGCCTATGTTTGCACTTTGTTAAATCCGCCTGCAGCAGGTGGCAGGATCTGGGATTGAGAGGCAAGTGGAGTGAAGAAGTGGTGTAAATCAAGGTTCAATCGCTGTATTCTGTCTGGAATAATTGAGACTAAATATGGAGGCCATGCCTGCAATTCTAGGTGTCCTGAGTGTGCTGCCAAAGCATCTGACTGCATTGCTTTCAGGGCAAAGGTAATTAGGCATTCTGGAGGAGTCTTGCTACTTTTCAGATTGAGCAAATCCCAAACAGGTGCAGCCTTAATTCAAGGCTTTGGAAGGCAGCACTGAGGAGGCAGCTGCAAGCATTGAAACATGTCAGACGCAGATCGGAAGCAGAGTCTGCCACAGGAAGGAGCATGTCCCGAGAGCCAAAAGTACAGTCTCGCAGTACCTAAAACACCGTTGGCATGGAAACAGAGAAATGCATACTGTGGTCTTTTGTATCTCCTTGCCATTCTGCCATGAATCCAAATGATACCTGGAAAGCCAAGCACAGATATACAGAGGTGTATGGACCATCGGCACATGATGCTGCATGTAAAACCTTAAAGGGGGAAAAAAATTGATGTTTTTGAAAGATTTAGAATTTTTTTAACCTCTCTTCTTAGGATCAGCTTTCTGTTATGGCACAAAATACCTTAGGTTAACAACATATGAATATTTATTTTGGCTCATGGTTTTAGAGGATTCAGCACATGACCAGCTAGCCCCACTGGGTTCAAGAGAAGGCAGAATAGCATGGTGATGAGAGTGAATGGCAAAAAGGGATGCTGACGTTATAGTGACAAGGAAGCAATAATTGGAAAGCAGAGAAGGATCCAGATCCCATCGATAGCCTTCCAAAGATTACCTGTACCTTCCTACTTGCTCTTAGCAGACCCCAGCTGGTGCAGGTTTTACCACTGTGCAATAACACCGTTAGATAACAACCAAGACTCTAGCCCCATAGCCCTGGGAAACATTCCAGACCCAAATCTTAGATAAAGGTCAGGATGAATCCTCTTGTCATGAAAGCTAGCAAAACCATAGTAGGGGTGAGGGAAAGCAATGAGCATAGAAACTGTACATTTTATCTTATTTTCTTGATTATTTTTTCCACAGGATGGGAATTGAACCAAGATTTTCACACATGCTGGGCAAGCTCTCTGCCACTGAGCCACTCACCCAATCCTTCCTGGCAATTTGATTTGTGCACCAAAAATGAGTTTGGAAACTATGTCATCGAGAAAGTTAGGAAAAGAGCAAAAGGAAAAAAAGTGGGAGAAAAAGGAAGGGAGTAGAGAGAGAAAACGAGAGGAACACAGAGGGAGGGGAAAACCTAAGAGAAAAGAAGAGAGCTGTAAGTACTGCCAATATAAGCTTCAACTCTGGCTTTCAAAATGGCTTTAGTATCCTTCGCTTTAAAGCTTCAGACCTGAGAAAGCTAAGTGGTGGTGCTGAGCCTCTCTGGAGGTTTTGGTGTGTCTGCGATTATAGAAGGCTACAAGACAATCAAGGGATTTTGTTGCTTGGTACCCAGATAGGGGTGACTCCAGGCCTGACCTCTTGCTGAATGAGAGCAAGCTAGACACACGGACATTTTTAAATAAGGAAAGAAAAGTGAAAAGAAAATGAATTATCATCTGAACTAGTTTCAACTGCTCCTAAAACACAGAGTCTTCAAGTGTTGAAAAGTTAACTTCTTGGTGGCCCCAGACCCTCAAGCTAAGTTTCAGGGAGGGCTCATCTGGTCTTGGTCTTTGTTCACTACTAAGCACAGTACTGGGGTCACGATTTCACTGGGTCCCAGAAGACAAACTATATTTACTGATCAATATTGAACATAACTCAGCAATTTAGATTGTGGCTCAATTGGCCCTGTGAACTTGAAAATTTGAGGAGCCTAATATTTATTTTATAGGTGGCCTTCACTGGGTTCCCTTTTCTAGAATCCTGTCACTTTCTTTAAATAACGAAACTTTCAGACAGGCTGAGTATCAGTTACTGGACATCTAAGGACAGCGTGTTTATTTGGGAAGTACTTGAATGTGCCCTTAAATTGCTTTGCCTTCCAGTTGTGAAGATATCCATCTCGGCTATTCCAGTTTAGACAACGACACACAGGGACAGGGGTCACCACCGGTTAACTCTGATGTCACTGAAAGGCTGAACACAAAGAGAAAAAGAAGTCAGGAGAGGAGGGGGAGAAGTGGGAGGGAAAGAGAATTAGCCAAAGGAGCAAAAACAACGAAATTCATTTGGTCGGGAGAGGTAGAGCGGCACCCACCAGACACTTCCTTATGTGATAGTTAATGGCATATAGTCCAGGATTACCGTCTCTAAGTGTGACCATAGGTACTGCTCTACCTCCACAAGGGCCAGTCTTGAAGAGAAGAGAAGCCTCCCCACGGTAGGGCAAGCAAGTGCACGGGAGGATTTCAAATCAGCACAGATCCCCACCCCCATGGCAGAAACAAGGGTGGGGAGGGGGGAGAGAAATCTGTTTTTAAAGCTCCATTAACAAAGAACTTCACTCAAGGAGGATCTGTTAATAAGTAATGAAACAAAGTGGCTGTTATGGAGATGAAATGCCCCTGTGTCTAGGTACAAAGTTCAGGCTGCAAAGTGCCTCTGTCACCCTGCCGCTAACCCCACCGCAGCCTTAGAACCTCTGGTTCAAAGTGTGTCTTGCTGCCTTCCTGTTACCAGGCTGCCGAGTGCAAGGTCCAGCCAGGGGTCAGAGTTCAGCGTCTGAGGCTCGGATGACTGCCTTCTTTGTCTAGCTCGGGCCAGCTTTTCCCTAAGCCACATACTGCTTATTTAAGACGATTAATACAAACAACTGACAGATTACTTCCCCTAGATTCTCGCGTTTATCCTTTATAAGGAAGCTTAAACGGTCCCTAACGGCAGTTTCTTGATAATTTCTGTGGACAAAAAGCAACCAAAGTAAGGGCACACGAAAGGATAAGAAAATCTATTCCTTAGGAAGAACTCTCTGCCTAGCAGATGTATAAAAATGGAGATCCTTAAAAAAAAAAAAAAAAGGAGATCCTTTGAAGTAAGGAACTTGCCCGAAAAATTTCAAGAAGGCTCAAATAATTCGCTCCTTAACCACCTAGGGTCCCATAAATGCGCCATTAAACCTTTAAAATTGAGCTAATGTGTATGAACTCACAGAGACCAGGACTGCATGAACCCTGAGTTCAAGCCAGGCAAAATCCCAACGTGGAGAATGGGAAGCTGGGAAGTGGGCACAAAGCCCCCCAACCAAGAAGCTGCTGGCAGCTGTTATCGGCAAGGGAGGAGAGGGAAACTCAGTTTCTTTCAGTGCAATGACTTTAGGTATAGCCTCCACACTCTGGGGTGGGGCCTGTACTCAGGAGCAGTTGGCCAACACAAAACGGACTCCGTGTTTAGAAAGAACATGAAGTTGGGTGGGTAGAGATATGGGGGAGGGTATGGGAAGAATTGGAAAGAAAGGGAAGAAGACGATCAAAACATATTAAATCAAAGTCTCAAAAAATAAATAAAAACATTTAAAAATAAAATTAAGCTAACTTTTCCTCATATGACAGTAAATGAATGTTCATTTATTAGAGTTCTCTCCCGTTTGATTGGTGATGTTTATGTTTATTTTCTGGAGAAGTAGAAACTTACTCCGTCAAACAGTTTCCCTGCTTTGACCCGATCCTGGGGAGAGTTTCAGAACGTTGGTAAAACATTAATCACTATTCCCATTTTGCAGGTGAGGAAACAGAGAACCTGGCATAGCCTTAACGCGAGGGGCGTCGGAGCCCACGCTACCCATTTCGTTCTCCGTTTCCACGGACCCCCTTAGCGCCCTGCTGTCTTCGATGTTTTGACACCAATTTTCTTTAAATTGATGTAGTCCGTAGTCCCTCCTAAATTTACAGTAGCGAGTTGAGTTAAAGTAAAACACGGGAGGCAGGCCGTTGGCGAAATGTGACTTGAAAGAGCGCTTCAGGTAAGAGTTCAGGGTACCCGGTGTGACTCCACGCTGGCCTCGCGCCAGGCCCTTGTGATTCAGGCTCCGTCTCCTGGCCACAGGTGCCGGGAGAGCAGAATTTTACCTTAGCTGCCCAGCGGGTCGCTTAGGGCACTGCTCTTTGCCGTGATAGTCTGGATTAATAGTTTACCTCAAAAAGGAATTGTGCCCGTGGGTGACATACCAGTGCCCCAGGGGCCTAGAATCGAGAATTCTACTTGATTTCCACCTGAGAAAAGGCTTAGGGTTTTTTTTTTTTTCTATTTTGTTTCTCTTAGAGTATAGCTTTAAAAATCATCAATAGGTTTCTTTCCTATGGCAGATATATATGGGCATATTTATAAATTACACACACATGTTAAACCAATGCTTCAAAGTTACTTCCTGAATTATTCATTCATGATGCTGATATATATAAATATCTTTACAGCTATTTACTGGGACCACACTGTGCCATCAAGAAGGCATGCATACAAATTCATACACGCCTTAGTCTTTGTCCTCACAATACTTGGCTTGTAGTAGAAAGAAAAGGGGAAAGCGCATGTAGCTGGTGACACCAGAGCCACAAGCAATGTGCAAACGGGCGGGAAAGGGCAAGAGTGGCTGAGTGTCAGCTCAGGGCCAAGCGCAAGAATGGGTATTTGATCTTTGCAAAGGCCTTTAATCCGCACAGTCACATCGGGAGGAGTCAGTGCTCTTTCCATTTTACAGATAATCACACTCAAACCCAGGGCGGTTAGGACACCCGACTAAAAACCACACAGCTTGTAAAGAAAACAAGTTTGTGAACTTAGTCTCCACCTGAAATACGCACAGTGGATGGGAAAGGCAAGCTGGGAAAGGAAAGAAATGTACTCTTAGGAAGGAAGACAGCAGGGTTTTCGTCGGAGCCTCAGCAGAGAGATGGAACGGAGCTTCCAAGAGAGGGCTGATGTTTAAGAACAGGGCGGTGGAGGTCAGAAACAAAGATCAGAGATTGCTACTACCTGATAAACAGATATGAGAAGCAAGAGGAGAGCTTCAGGTGGTACGAACACCCAATCCTGCATCTCGAGGAGATGGAGAGGAAGGACTGAGCAAACTGAACAGATGTATGTCTGGTATTACCTTGCGCTGGTTCTCTCTGAACCACCTACACAAGAGGGTGTGTTTTCTCATGCCTTAGATACATGCTGGGGCGTGATGGTGGCTCTCACCTGTGCCCTGAAGGAAGATGTGCCCTAATGGAAACTTCTGGTTGCAACCCCTTCTTTTTTATTCTCTTTTCTTCCTTTCCTTTCCTTTCCTTTCCTTTCCTTTCCTTTCCTTTCCTTTCCTTTCCTTTCCTTTCCTTTCCTTTCCTTTCCTTTCCTTTCCTTCCCTTCCCTTCCCTTCCCTTCCCTTCCCTTCCCTTCCCTTCCCTTTCCTCTTCTCTTCTTTATTTTCCTTTCCTCTTCTCTCCTCTCTTTTCCTTTCCTTCCTCTCCTTTCTTTTCTTTCCTTTTCCTTTCTTCCACATGCTGACGTAAGGTTCACAGTGTCCAACTTTACCACCCAGAGACGCTCTGCTTCAGCAAGGCCGCTCTTTCCGTACATCCCCTCCCTCGGATGTGACGCCTTATGCTTCCCTTTTCCCTTGGAAGAAATGATCATGTTATCTCTGTTGGCTTTTTCTCTCACACCCTGAAGCGACAACATTTCACCAGGCCCTTGAAATGTGTATCCAAATCCACAGTGTCTCTCCAACACCCTTGCCTATGGACATTGCTTAAGCATTGTGTCATAGTGTGAAATCAGATATATATATATACAATTTATATATACATATATGTATATATACATTATATATATACATATATGTGTATATATACAATTTATATACATACATATATATGTATATATATATGCTCAAAGCATATGACACACACACACACACACACACACACACACACGTAAAGATGTCTCTTTTTATCACGCCCGACCTGGTATCTGTTATCTTTTGCTGTGACAAAATCATGGCTGATCTGATCCTTATTCCTCATGTTATCTTTTCCTGTGGTCTCTACTAGCAATGATTTGCAAAATATAGAACAAATGGAATAAAATCTGTTAATGCCTTTCTTACATTAAAAATATTAATATTTCCCATACATGTGCAAGAGTTTACAAACAGGTGAAAATAGGTTAATATTAGCCAAGTGATACTGTAAAAATGTATGTATTACTATAGTGATTAGTGTGTGTGTGTGTGTGTGTGTGTGTGTGTGTGAGAGAGAGAGAGAGAGAGAGAGAGAGCAGTATGTGTGAGTGTAGGTGTACATGTGTCACTGTGTGAATGTTGACATCATAGTACAATTTTGGCAGTCAGTTTTTACCCTCTACCCTGAGTTCTAAGGCTCTACCTCTGCTCATAGGTTTCCATGCTACGTTCCTTCATCTAGTGAGTCTTACCAACCTATGACTATCTTATTATTTGGCATGCATATGAAACTACTGCGGTTTAAATTTTAATCAGCTGTCAGACTATGAAAGTTGGATGTTTCATATGAACACTGAGATTTCTATATTTTGGGGAAAGCCAGAATCAGGTAACATTGGGCCAGATTTCCAATGGGGCAGCCATCAGAGCTGCCCATTATAGAGGACCTTTACTTCAGTTTGTGGCATTCACAGGCATAGGTTATATTGGGACTGTGCAATCTTGTTATGATAAGGGCAACATTATGTGTCTCTAATCTTTCTCTCTGAAACCCAAAATACCAGACAAATCTTAAAAAAAAAAAAAAACAAAACCTTAAACCTCAGTTAAAATGCTTTCTGTAAAATACTGACCAAAGCTCTTTAAAACTGAGCATTTCATCAAAAAATAAATAACAGCTGAGAGCCTGTCAAAGCCAAATGAAGGCAAGTAATGTAGTTTCCTGGACAGAAACGCAAACCATAAGAAAAGTATGCGGTTCTAAGTAAGGGCTTTACCGAGTAACATACCTCTGCTGTTTCATGCACGGTGAGAACCAGAGCACACTACTGTAAAATGTTAAGATAAACTGGATTCACGGTGTCCATCTCAACTACACTCACAATAATTGTACAAGTACAGACCAATTCTAAATTTCCATGAGTTTTAAAAGAACTGAGTAACGCATGGCAGAACTAGTATTTTGAAAATGTGTTTGTTGACTGTATTGTTTTCCAATTCTTCAATATCTCTGGTATTGGTGTATGTTAGTGCTTCTAGAACAATGTATAAAGCCATATGTTTATATAAATGGCTAAATACTCTTTGTTGAATTGATATCTTTGCTTGCATATGTGCAAGCTGATTCCCATGCAAACATGAGAGATGCTGTTTGTAGGTCCCATGGGTCTACCCCTGCTCCTGGGGTTCATCTTGAGAACAGCCTCTGATCAGCCAGCTAGAACATTCTGTTTGTTCCTGTGCTCCCTCTGCCCTGCCTGGTGATTAGCTGTAGGTCATTGTTTATTCCATCTTGGGTGTGGCAATTTCCCACCTGCCTGGGGGCAATTCCTTGTGCAGCAGCTAGGTGTGCAAGAATTTCCCCAAGGTGAAATCAATGGCATTCGGCTGATCTCC